TCTTAAAATTTGCTCTCGTTGGTTGTTTTATTAACTTTCAAAAACTAAAAAATCGCGTCGCGTTGTCGAATCGCCGGACACCCGACGGTGTATCTGGATCTATACAGGGTGTCCCAAAAAAACGGAAACTATTGAAATCACTTATTGTTAAAATTTGAATGCCCTACCAAAAAGCTGAACGCTTACAGGTGCATGTATTAAAATTTAGTTAAGACATCTTCTTGTAAAGTGCGCGATTTTTTGCTCTTGGGAATTTAAAGAAGCTTCTTAATTAAACAGTTTCTTTATGCATAAAATTTACTTATGTCAATCATTTGTGCACTCGTGGGAACCAACAGAGTGCTAAGGCATTCAAGTTCTACTAACAATTAAATTGTTATTGGTGATTTCAATAGTTTTCGGGGTTTTTGGGACACCCTGGTTGTGGAAAACCCATCCGGTTTGAAATTGTGCTAATGGTAAGCAAAATTTCGAATGGAAAATCACCCATTCGGATTATGCGCTTTCCATTCAGAGTGACTGACCGGAGGCACTGAAGGGTTGTTTACTATTTACATGGAAAACCCATTCGGTTTGAATTAAATCGCGAAGAGCCTGGAACTGGTGCAAAAATAAAAAGAGATGTAAATGGAACAAAATTCACCGGTTGAAACGTTCCAATCGGTAAGAGAGGACAACCTTTCCAAACAAACCGATTATTCCGGAAAAGTTCCGGTTGGGCCGTCGAAATAAGCTTGTTCCATTTACTTTCCGTATGGAATCACCGGAATTTCCATGTAAATAGTAAACAACCCCTGTATCGGCAAGAAAGCTGGTGGATTGACTGATTGAGATGGATTCAACAACCTGAAAAATTCAAGTAAATCTTCGACGTTTCGAAGGAAGGCCCTTTGTCAGACAGTTCCACATTCAATTCGAAGCAAAGCAAAATGAATCAACAGATATATTATTAATTTAATAAGGTTCTATTGAATAATGAGTTTAGCTAATTTTGTAATTAATTAAATAAAAAAGAACGATATGCGGTATCAAATAAACTTCTTAACCAGTTTTATCAATATTAAGGGTGATGCGTGACTCAAAAGACCAATAATATAAAAATATACTTTATTTATATATAAATCGTATATATGCACGTCAATTTTTATGCCTGGTATAAAAGAGAGTTCTGTTAAAAGGAAAATAGGATATTAATAGTAAAAACATCTGTGATGTATAAATGCATGTAGACTAATAAATTATGTTAATTTTATACGCGCGACACCAACCAGATGGCTGAATATATTCAAAAAATATATCAGTCCGCAATAAAATTTCGGCAAACAATGTCAACGAACATCTTTTCTGAATTGGCTTCCTCAAACAATTATGATTAATCAGTATGCGCCTCGTTCTTTAGAAAAATTATTCTTTACTTTTAACACTTCATCTTTCTGATGATTAACTCTGAAATTTTGACACAAAAGCTAACGAATTCGGAAAATGTTTTCAAATTTTATGAATTCAAATATTTAAGAATAAAACTTTGAATTGATAAATATGTATAGCCTATAGGAGTTCAAAGTCTAAATGTTTATGTCATTGATGAGTCCTGTCAATAAAAGCTTGAAGCCAATAATAAACTTCAGGGAATGCCGACGATTTTTTAAACAGAATTATTAACTTGCTTCAATTATTTATAACCGCGGGAAATGCATGTGCGCATCTAATTTAATCTGATTGCACAAAAGATAATATATTAGCATGGAAAGCTGTTGTGTAAGTATATACAAACACTAGCCAAAGACACTGATACCGGTCGCATGTTTGCATGTAAATCGTCTTGAAAGAAACACGGTTTCATATGCTCGTAACGGTCGGAAGAATGGACCTATTACCTACATTGCAAAAAATCAAATTGTAGTCTAGAATAATATTCTTATTTTTTAGATTATTTTTCTTATTTTAAGTAAATATTTCTTATCAAGAAATATTTCAAGAAAAACAATCTAGTTTTAAGAACAAAAATCTTAAAGTTAAAGTAAGAAAATATAACTGCCAAACTGGGCAAGAATATTCGAGAGAATTTTTTTTCTTATTCTAAGAATAACATTTTCCCATCCTAGAATAATATTCTTATAATTAGAAAAACAATCTTGAAATGAAGTTTAATATTATTTATCGCATATATCAAAACTACCTTTCTTTCGGCAACTTTTGCATGGCCGAAACGAGATATGATATTGAATTGAATTGAATTAAACCTAGTTCTATTGTATAATAACCAAAATTTTGATCTCAACAAGTCTAGACAAATATTTCACCACAGCTTGAAAGAACATCACAAAATTAGTAATATTCCAAAGTTTCGTTGCAAAATGTTGTAAAATGCGGATAATATATATAGCCTTGCGAAGTTTTCCGTTTTTCAGTCATTTTATAATACGTACGAGAAATTGATACCTTTTTTCAGAAAGCGGAATTTTTACATTTTTGAAGCCCCAGAACTGTATTTCTGGCGTTTTCTAAAGCAAATTCGCAAACGAATAGACCTTTTCATGAAATTTTGATCTAGATATGCCTGGACAAAAATTTCATCGCAGCTTGCGAAAGAGCATCACAAAATTAGTAATATTCCGAAGTTTCGTTGCGAAATGTTGTAAAATACTAAAATGCAGACAATATATATAGCCCTGCGAACTTTGCCGTTTTTCAGTGAATTTGTATTATAAATGGGAAATTGATAATCAGATGATCAAACTGATTACCAATTTCCCGTTTGTAATCAACAAAATGACTGAAACTTCGCAGGGCTATATTATCCGCATTTTACAACATTTCGCAACGAAACTTCGGAATATTACTAATTTTGTGATGCTCTTTCATTTTTGTCCAGACTTGTCTAGCTCAAAATTTCACTCAAAAGGGGAAAGGTCTATTGGATCTAAATTGACTGTATTTTACACTGAAAATGGTTATAATTTCACAAAAATGACTTTTGTATGCAAATTTTTACTTAAAATCCTCAAAATTTTAACTTGAATTTTACCTGATTTTTAACTGAGTTTCACAGTTGGGGGGTTCTACCCCCCCCCCCCCCCCCCC